TGTTGGTTCATGTGAAACTTTTCACACATTATACATGTGCAGGTCGTACACACACAGACACTAGAGATGTGTGGATCGTGTTTACAGCTGCGGTGTCCGTGGCTAAACCGCGGGTCGGGCAGATGATGTGACAAAAAATAATATTTTAATAAAATTTGGGCGGGTGGCGATTTAACTACTCAAATTAAAATATATAAATAAAAAATATATATATATATATATATATATATATATATATATATATATATATATATATATATATATATATATATATATATACACTCGTCCTGTTAGTCCTGTTTAGTGCATCACGGCAAATAAAACCACGATTCTTGAGCAACGACCTGGTGCGTTTATTGATCCCACACACTCACGGTGAGGTTCAGAACAGGGAGTTAAACCCCGAGGGACGAGCGAGATTAAGAATGTGAACGTGCACATTGAGCGAATTTTGGAATGAATGAGCTTTTTTTTGAGTTTGCATTTTTATCGAGGCTCTTTAGTTTGTTTACTGTGTGATTGTTCTAAAATCTAAATTCAATCAGCAGATGGCGGCGAGTGCCGTTTGGAAAACTGGTCAAAACTTTGGGTGCAAATGGACGGCGTTTGTGTTGCGGTTGCGGATGAAAAAATATCCCATCTGTGCATCTCTAACACACGTTTATGTGAATGGACACATATTGTGTGTCTCAGTGTTTTGTGGTGAGACTCGGCGGTGACAGACACACATCAGAGTATCAGAGTTTTCAGGAGTCACACAGTCCCCATCACATCTTTACCAACATACACACTAGTGTGAACCAACACTGTACACACAACAACACCACTCACATACACACTAGTGTGAACAACACTGTACACACAACAACACCACTCACATACACACTAGTGTGAACAACACTGTACACACAACAACACCACTCACATACACACTAGTGTGAACAACACTGTAGTGTGAACAACACACTGTACACACAACAACACACACTCACATACACACTAGTGTGAACCAACACTCACATACACACACTAGTGTGAACAACACTGTACACACAACAACACACTCACATACACACTAGTGTGAACAACACTGTACACACAACAACACCACTCACATACACACTAGTGTGAACAACACTGGGGCCAAAGTCTTTGTTAAACTTTCTTCTTGTGCCAAGTTCATCTGAAGCACAAACATTTTCATCGTCAGAACAGTGAAATGTGTCGCAAAAACGAGTTTTCTTCATCTGAACAAACAAAACTGGAGCTGGAACTAAATAATTTAGTAAAATAAACCAAAAAAATCCTCTTGGTGATAAATCGATACAACAGAACACGATATCGATACTGAATCATCACATTAAACGATACGATACATCAATATTTTGATATTTTTGCAAAACCCTAAGACTAAACCAGGACTAAACCAGGACTAAACCAGGACTAAACCAGGACTAAACCAGGACTAAACCAGTGTTGTGCAAGTTCACACTTTTCATGAACTAGTTCAAAGTTCAGTTCATTTTATATTTAGGTGAGATCTGTAAATGAAAGGCTGCATTTATTTTAGACTAAACCAGGTCTAAACCAGAACTGAACCAGGACTAAAAAAGAACTGAACCCAGGACTGAACCAGAATTGAACCAGGTCTGAACCAGGACTAAACCAGGACTAAACCAGGTCTAAACCAGGTCTAAACCAGGACTGAACCAGGACTAAACCAGAACTGAACCAGGACTGAACCAGGACTAATCCTGGACTAGAACTTGGAATCTAGGACCGCCCCTGAGAGAACCCCGAGTGTGATCGTGCGTCAGCTGCGTTTATCTCGGTGGAGCGCGGACTTCTGCGTCGGTCCTTTCGCTCAGGATCACGGTCTACGCGGGCGAACCTCCGGCGTTTCACCGCTGCTGATATCGCCGTGATTTTAGCAAATTTGTATGAAGAAAAACGAAAAAACCCACCATTTCAATCCAAGTTAAAAAAGCATTGTGACGCGCGTTACTGACACATGTACCAAGTAAAATAATACGCGTGCGGAGCAGCATGTCCTGTGCCTGTAGATTTCAGGAAATAGGATCCATCCTATTTTTTTACGC